ACGACTGCGATTACTACTGTGACTGCGATTGCGACTACGACTGGGACTACAAATAGGGCTGCGACCACGACTACGACTACAAATTGTACCGATACGACTTCTACGACTACTACTGCTACTACTACCACTACTACTACTACTACTACTACTACTACTGCTGCTACTACTACTACTACTACTACTACTACTACTATTACTACGACTACTACTACTACTACTACTACGACAACGACTACGACGACTACTACTACTACTTCTACTACTGCTACTATGACTACTACTACTACTACTACCCCTACTACTACTACTACGACTACTACTACTACTACTACTGCTACTACTACTACTACTATTACTACTACTACTACTACTACTACTACCCATACTACTGCTACTAGAAGTACTGCTCTACGGCTACGACAACTACTACTACGAAGTTCAACGTATCCGTCTGCTTCTTCTCCTGTTACTACCACTACTACAGATTCTACGACTACTTGTGCTACTACTTTTATTACTGCTCCTACTTCAATGTCCAATTATACTATCTACTCTTGGAGCTACTACAGCAAACACTCGTACTACTCCTAATCCGCCTACTGCTACTACGACAATTACTACTACGACTACGACTGCTACGGCTACTACGACTACTACTACTACTACTACTGCTACTACTACTACTACTACTACTGCTACTACGACTACTACTACTACTACTACTACTGCTACTACTACTACTACTACTACTACTACTACTACTACTACTACTACTGCTACTACTGCTGCTACGATTACTGCTACTACGACTGCTGCTACGGCTGCTGCTCTACCTCTATCACTACTACCACTGCTGCTACTACTACTCCTGCTACTACAACGGCTACAAAAACTGCTACTAAACATGTGCACTAGTAAAACGTTTACTAAAACCACTACTTTTGCGAACGCTACTGCAACTACTACTACTACTACTACTTCGACTTCCACTTCTACTGCTACTTCTACTTCTACGACGGCTACTACTACTACTACTACTACTACTACTACTACTGCTGCTGCTGCGACTACTACTACAACTACTACTACCACAACTACGGCTACAACTATCATTACTACGGCGACGCTACTACTCCTCTGACGGCTACTACTCCTCCTCCTCCTACTACTACTAATGCTACTACTATTACTACTACTATTATTATTATTACTACTACTACTACTACTACGACTACTACTACTACTACTACTACTACTACTACTACTACTACTACTACTACTACGACTACTACTACTACTACTACTACTACTACTACTACTACTACTACTACTACTACTACTACTACTACTACTACTACTACTACTACTACTACTACTACTACTACTACTATACTACTACTACTACTACGACTACTACTACTACTACTACTACTACTACTACGACTACGACTACGACTACGACTACGACTACGACTACGACTACGACTACGACTACGACTACGACTACGACTACGACTACGACTACGACTACGACTACTACTACTACTACTACTACTACTACTACTACTACTACTAACTACTACTACTACTACTACTACTACTACTACTACTACTACTACTACTACTACTACTACTACCGTACTACTACTACTACTACTACTACTACTACTACTACTACGGCTACTACTACCAGGGCTGACCTTACCTTGCCTAATTTGCCTTGGAAGGTTGGAAGGGTGGGTGGTGGGGATCCGGGGGGGGGGGAGCCGCCGCGCACGAAAAGTACACGAACACCCTACGATTACCATACGATTGCCATACGACTACCATACGATTACCACACGAGTACCATACGACTACCGTACGATTACCATACGACTACCATACGGCTACCATACGACTACCATACGATTACCATACGACTGAAACACGATTACCATACGACTACCGCACGATCACCATACGACTACCATACGATTGCCATACGATTACCATACGACTACCATACGATTACCATACGACTACCACGCGACAACCATACGATTACCATACGGTTACCGTTTCTGGGATTGTCCTGGTATGCCCAAATCTTCCTAGGCAGTTCCCAATTAACAAATCATGTGTGTTTCCAAATTTCCCAGGTCTTCCCGGAGACTACCCAAGTGAAAAATTATGTGTTTCTTGATTTTCCAGGTATTCCAATTTTTGCTCCAGGGAGCGCGCTGCAAGCTCAGAGTGATCTCTGGGAATATATGGAATATATGGAGAATCTGGGAAACACATGGTTTTTCACCTGGGTGGTCTCTGGGAAAATCTGGAATATCTGAAAAATCTAGGAAATAGGAAGATCTGGAATATGTGGAAAATCCGGAAAACAGATGATTTGTCATCTGGGTGGTCTCTGGGAACATCTGGAATAGCTGGGAAATCTTGAAGACACATGTTTTGTTCACTTGGGAAGTGTCTGGGAAGCTCTGGACTGTTTGGAAAATCTGGAAGACCCAACGTTTCTTCAATACCATCCTCCCCGCCGATACCTTCCTCCTCTCTCTCTCTCTCTTTTGCCTCTCTCTGCTTCTCTCTCTCTCTCTCTCCCACTCTCTCTCTCTCTCTCTCTCCTCCTCTCCCTCTGTGGTGAGGATTCCTGCTGCAAGGCCTTCCATTAGAAGCATGCAAAGGATTCCTGCTGTGGGGCTTTCCACTCAAATCCCTGTGTGGCGTTGTCCACAGCGTTTCTGTTGTGAGGCCTTCCAATAAAATCCCTTTAGGGGTGTTTTCCAAAAGATTCCGATTGTGAGGATTGCCCATCGAATCCCTCTGTGGCGCTTTCCAACAGATTCCGGTTGTGAGGCTTTCCGCCAGAATCTCTCTGTGGTGCTTTCCAGAAAAGAATCCTGTTGAGAGGCGTTCCACTAGAATCCCTCGGCGGTGCTTTCCAAAGGGCTCCTCTTGTGAGGCTTTCCAATGGAACTCCTCTGTGGTGCTTTCCAGAGGATTCCGATTGCGAGGCTTTCCCAACGAATCCCTTTGTGGGGTGCTTTTCAAAGGAACCCTGTTGAGAGGCTTTGCAATCGAATCCTTCTGTGGTGCTTTCTGGCGGATTCCTGTTGGGAGGCTGTCCGATGCAACTCCTGTGTGGTGCTTTCCAAAGGGATCCTGTTGTGCCGCGTTCCAATATAATCCCTCTGTGGTGCTTTCGGAAAAGGATTCCGTTTGTGAGGATTTCCACTAGAATCCCTCTGCGGTGCTTTCCAAAGGTATCCTGTTGAGAGGCTTTCAAATGGAACTCCTTTGTGGTGCTTTTAAAAGGGGTTCCTGTTGTGAGGCTTTCTAATGGCATCCCTCTGTTGCGTTTTCCAACGGATTCCGATTGTGAGGCTTTCCAATGGAAGCCATTTATGGAGCTGTCCAAACGATTCCGTTTGTGACGCTTTCCAATCGGAGCCATTTGTATTGTTTTCCGAAGGGTCCCTGTTGTGAGGCTTTCCAAACGAATCCCTCTGTGGTGCTTTCCAAAGGAATCCTGTGGAGAGGCTTTACATTCGAATCCCCCGTGGTGCTTTCCAAAAGATTCCGATTACGAGGTTTTCCAATGGAATCCCTCTGTGGTGCTTTCCAAAGGAATCCTGTTGTGAGGATTTCCCATAGAATCCCCTGTGGTGCTTTCCAAAGGACTCATGTTGAGAGGCGTTCCACTAGAATCCCTCGGCGGTGCTTTCCAAAGGGTTCCGCTTGTGAGGCTTTCCAATCGAATCCCTCTGTGGTGCTCTCCAATGGAATCCTGGTGAGAGGCGTTCCAATGGAACTTTTTTTTTATAGAAAAAAACAAAAAAAACAAAATCAAGACAAGAGGAAGAAAAAAGGGTTCATGATGTGAGGGTTTCAAATGGGATCCCTTTGTGGTGCTTTCCAAAGGATTCCGATTGTGAGAAAGAGAGAGAGAGAGAGAGAGAGAGAGAGAGAGAGTGAGAGGCAGCGAGGACACATATATGAAGGCAAGAAAGATGATAATGCAGGAGGGGAGGAGGATGAGTAGGATAATGAGAGGACTCAGGATAATGGGGAGGAGACGGAGAATGAGGAGGCGAATGAAGAGAATGAGGAAACAGAGAATTATGCATAATGATGGGAATGATGAGGATGAGGCAAATGAGGAGAAATAACATGAGGAATGATGTGGATAATGGGGACGAAGATGAGGATGATGAGAACGAGGCAGACGGGGAGAAGGATGAGGAGGCGAATGAAGAGGAAGAGGGCACGAGAGGAGGCGAAACGTATGATGACAAGGGGGCGAGCAGATGTGCATGTGTATATATATATGTATATATATATAAATATGTATTGGAAGCGAATCGGATCGGGCCGGCCGAAGCCGACCTCGATCGGATCGAGGTGGGCCCTGCCTTCATCCTGACCTCGCCGTCGTCCCAGAACTTCCCCACGCGCGACGCCACGCTCTGCGTCTCGGCGTCGACCAGCACCCCGCCCCCCTGCGCCTGTCGGCGGCGAGCCCGCAGGGGAAACGAGAAGGAGAAGGCCTCCTCAGAGGGCTCGGAAGTCCCCCGGCCTCCTGAGCAGTGCCCTCGGCCTCCCCCAAGAACACGGGGCACTCCCCGGACGGCACGAGGGCGAGGGCCTCCGAGAAGCCCTGCCGCCTGCTGCGAGAGCCTTCTCCTCCTTGCTTCCCCCCCTCGGCTATACTTATGTCGGGCGTGTCCCCCTACAGTCCAAACATAGTCTGGGGACTATTTGTTGAATCTTTTTGGACCTTCTTGGAGTATTTTTGTGGTATCTTTTCTTTTTCGTCGAAAATCCCCCTGTAGCGGGGCAGGCCCGACTTAAGGTAAGAGTGACCTTTGGTGCACGGCTTTAGGGGGGCCGCGGGGAGGCCAAATCCAGGCGCGCTAGCCGCTGCTACCGCTTCGGTTCAGCCATCTGGGGGCCATCTGTGCCCGCACCAGAGGTCACTCCGGCGAAAGGTCACTCTTACATCTAGTCGACCCCCGCTCGCCGCCGAGCCTTGCCCATCAGCCGTGCGGCGAGGTTCACGGTGTCGCCCAGCACGGTGTACTCGCGGCACTGCGCGGAGCCCACCACGCCGCACCAAGCCTGGCCCGTGGCCACGCCCAGGCGGCACTCCAGGCCCTCGTCGCGCAGCGTGTCCCGGATGCGCATGGCGCACAGCACGGCCCGGATGGGATCGTCCTCGATGTGCGATAGGGGCGGCAGCCCAAAGACCACCAGCAGCACGGCGCCCTTGTCGTCCACCAGAAACTTGTTCACGGAGCCCTCCAGCGCGTACACCGAGCGCTGCATCAGCCGCATCAGGAGCTGCGTCTGCCGGGCGCCCGACAGCCAGGGTCCATCTCCAGAGTAGGCGTGGGGGTCCAAGTTGCCCAGGGAGATGAAGAGGATCGACACGCGGCGCATCTCCTCTGGGGATACCGAAAGGTACCGATACCGCTACTCCCCGGACCTCCCCCAGGGTGCGTTCTGACCAGGATTTCGAGGCGAATCCAGCGGTGGCGACGAGGGCCTCTCAGGAGGCCCAAAGAGGGGAAAACGGGCGGGGGGGCAGAGGTACGGTAGAGGGAAACAATTACTGAACACTCCTCCTCCCCCCCAAACTCCCCCCCAAACTCAATGTTGGCACGCGCGGGGGAAACTGCGGTCGAAGTGCATCTCCTCAGACCCACCGCCAACTTTGAACATTGGGGGGAGGGGGAGGCGTTGACAGATGAATGTGGCATGTGTTCGCAATTTTTTTCCGAGGCCTGTGTGGGTACCTTTGCCTCCTCTGCTCCTCGGGGAACGATATCGCGTCCGCGACGCTCGAGGACGCCAGCCGGGTCAGCACGGCGCTGGGGATGCACCTCCTCAGGAGGCGCACGTCCAGGCCCGCGACGCCCTCGATGCCCCACCTTTGCAGGGGCCCTGGGACACACACACACACACACAACACACACAACACACACACAACACACACAACACACACACAACACACAACACACACAGCACACACAACACACACAACACACACAACACACAACACACACAACACACACACAACACACACACACAACACACACACAACACACACACACAACACACACACAACACACACACAACACACACACACAACACACACACACAACACACACAACACACAACACACACACACAACACACACACACACAACACACACAAATCAATACACACACAAATCAACTGAGTCCCCATATTTTCCTACATTTTCTGGGTTTCTGTCTTCCCCCCATCTTCCCATATTTTCCCATATGTTCAGGACATCGACCATGAATTGTGTCTGTGTGTTTTTCCCCTCCTGAACCTTTGGACGCCCGAGGAAGCGGGCACGGACGAAAATGGGCACGATGCCCAACAACGAATGTCCTCCCAAACCGACAGCGGCCGCTGCTGGGCAGGCGGCCTTCTGCCTCAAACGGACACCGCCCGCGGCGACGCCGACAGCGAGCCCCGTTCACAGAGCGAACAGGAACCGCTGTCGGTCTTTATGCACGTGCTGCCCAGCACCCGCACCCGTTGCGTTCGTGCCGACCACCAGTCTATCCCCGCGCCCGCGCCCTCTCCGAAGGACCCCGACCGCGCGCCGGCCTCCGCGTCCGACTCGGGCGCGAGCTCTGGCGCGGGCCGGGCCGTGGGCGAGCCCGGCGCGGGCTCCAGCAGGCGCCCGAAGCCCGCGCCGCGCACGCCGCACGGCGCTGGAGGCGGGGCGCCCGAGTTGCGGCGTTGGCACCTTGGCACCCAAAGACCCAACGCATTGAAAACATCAGGACCTTGGCTGCCCCAAGGCCCAGCACACAACCCGCAGCGTGTGGGCACGGAGCTCCACACGGAGATTGACAGCGTACGTTTGGGGCGATGCGTTCGCCAAAACGTGGACGAAGACGTGGCGAGCCAACACGCTGCGTGTAAACACGGACGATTTGAGCACGGCACGTGTTGCCTTCCAACACTGGCGTAGCGGGGCAGCTAAGATCAATACGGAGGTTCTTTGTAGTTCTCGGCCTCTATAAGGCCCTCGCCGGGCCCCTGGACCTCCCAAAACCGACCGGGGATAAGAAACTGGTCCTGGGGGGAATAGGTCGAGACTTCCAGGGGCCCAGCATTGAACAAATCGCGACATCGGATCTCTGGGCATGGGGGGAAGCGGGTCCCGAGGGAAACGGGTCCTATAGATCCCGGGGTCTCTCCCAGAACGGCATCGTCATCCCGAATCGTTTCCTGACGGCCCCAAGGCCGGTGGAGGGACCCCCGAGAGCCCACACAGCGGCGAAAGACCTCCCAGACCCATTTCCCTCGGGACCCGCTTCCGGCGAGCATTCGGTCGGGCATGTCCTCCTACGGGCGGATACTTTGGCAGAAAAGTCAGAACTAGCCAGGACATGCCCAAACAGAAGCAACAAATAATTTGAAAAGAATCCCCAGACCATGTCTGGACGAGTTTGAGGAACTGTCTCCTGTCGAGGGACATGCCCGACTCCGGGCGAGCACCGTTCCGCCGCGACGTCCTCGAGGCGGAAGGCGCTGCTGGCCAGCGCCCGCGCCTCGGGGCTCAGCACGGTCTCGCCCGAGGCGGCCAGCGCCTCCGCCTCGCCGACCTGCTCCAGGGCGGGGCCCGCGACGCAGAACTCCCAGCGCCCCAGCATCCCCCCCAGCTGCAGCAGGGCCAGCTCCCCGAAGCCCACTCCTCCGGCCGGCGGCCCGCGAGGGGGGAAGTCGGGCCCGTCCTCCTATAGAGGATCTTGGGCGAAACAAAAGAATAAAACAGAAAAGACCCCCCAAGTGCTCAATAATAGTAATAATAATAGTAACACTATGAATAATATTACTAATCATAACAATAATAATAAGAAGAATAATAATAATAGTAGTAATAATGATAGTAATCATAATAATAATACTACTACTAATAATAATAATAGTAGCGATAATAATAATCATAATAATAATAGTAATAGTGGTAATAGTAATAATGCTAGTAATAGTGATAATAGTAATAATGATGGTACGAATAATAATAATGATAATAAGACTAATAATACTACTAATAATAAGCCGTTCCCAGACCATGTTTTGACTATCTTTGAGCATTCCCCCTGTAGAGGGACAGGCCCGACTTCATGCGAGGGGGGAAGTGCGAGGTCGGCGCTTCGAGGCTCGAGGCTTCTTAGTCGAATCGTCCTCGGCCTCTGCATGGGGCCGCGTTCAGGGCCCGGGGCCTCCGCAGCTCGATCCGAGGTGAGACACCGCGTCGGAGGGGCCCCGGGAGGGGTCTGGGGACCGATGGTGACGGATGCTCAGCGGCACTTGGAAACGCCCAAGGGTCATACTCTAGAGGCCTGCGCGGAGGCGCGGAGCAGGGGGCGCTGGGAAAAACAAAAAACGTTTTGCGCACATGACGTTTGCCTTCGGGGGATGTGGGAAGGAGAAGGCTTTCGTGGAAGGCGGCTGGGCTTCTCGGAGGCGCCCGCCATGGCCGTCTCCGCCGCCGCCGTCTCCGTCGCCGGTCGTCGCAGTCGCCGTCGTCGTCGCCGTACCCGTTGCGAGGCTGAAAGGAGCGAGGATGAAAGGAACGAGGGCGGACCATACCGGGCGGATCGGGCCGGGTGGGCGGACGGGCGGGTCGGGTCGGGCGGGCGGGCCCTAACCAGCGGGTCGGTTCGGGAGGGCGGTACATTGAAGTGTGGGGCATACACCAGCCAGCACGCGTGAACCCTAACGAGCGGGTCGGGTCGGGCGGGCGGGTCCCAACGGGCGAGTCGAGTTGGGCGGGCGGACCCTACTAACGGGCGGGTCGTGTCGGGCGGGAGGGACATTAAAGTGTGGGGCATACACGAGCGAGCACGCGTGAACCCCAACGGACGGGTCGGGTCGGGCGGGCGGAGCCTAACGGGCGGGCCGGGTCGGGCGGGTCAGGTAGGGCGGGCGGACACTAACGGACGGGTCGGGTCGGGCGGGGACGACGACGACGACGACGACGACGATGACAACGACGACGGCGGCGACGACGACGACGACGACGGCGACGGCGAGACGACGAAGAAACGATCACGAGACGGAGGCAGCGACGGCGACGACGACGAGAAAGCGCACGACGGCGGAAGCGAACCGGGAGGCGGCGAGCAGAGTCTCGGGCGAAGAGGGCGGCGGCGACCAGGGCCGAGCCGAGCAGGGCTATGGGGCGAGCAGGGCCCCTCCGCCCGCAGACGCTGCCCCTTTTGGAGCAGCGATCGCCTGCCCCATATGGCGGCCGCCCTGGGCCGTGGACGGAACCCGCTGCTGGGTCATTCCCCAATCCGTGCTTGCACTGACAGGGGTCCGCTGGCGTGGGTTGAAAGACTTGGCGAAGGTTTCCCGCCGATGTTGGTGGCAAGCTGGGTTCCCGGGCTCCCGCTGCCGGGTTCCCAAGTTCCCGGGTATTATAGTTCTGGCCGATTTCGGTGGCTTAAGGGCTCCCGGGCTCCCGGGCTCCCGGTCGATCTCCTCGGCGAAAACCATCCACCGATTGGGGTCTTCTCTGGTGTAATGTCCCCCTTGTTTCCGCTAGCCCCCGCTCCTGAGAGGGACGACGTCGGGGGGGGACGAAAGGGTATAGGTAGGATATCAAAGGGCAGGAGGGCAGAGGAGCGGCTCGCGCAATGGGCTTCCCTGGCGCCCGCTAGCCAACCTCTATGCGAAGCCCCACAGGCGTCTTAGAACGCACGAGCGATTCAAAAGCGTCGCACGGCCGTCTTAGAAGCGTCGTGCGGACGTCTGAAAGGCCTCGTACGGGCGTCTTAGATGCATCATGTATCGGGGAGAGGGCCCGGCGGCGGGGCGGCAACCAGCGGCGCGCAGCAGGTTTCGAAGCCCCCCCTTTCCCTACATCCTGCCTCTTCGCGCGGCCCGGCAACAGGGTGCCAATACCGCTGCTGCCCAGACCTCCTCGGATGCGTTCATAGACGAGAACTTTGAAACGGATCCAGCCGTGGCGCCGAGGGAGGCGTAGATCGGTCTCGCTCCCTCCTCCGAACTTCGCGCGTGCCCGAGCTCCGATGTGCATGGTGAGGGAGCAGTCCCGCAGCGGGGTGGAGTTGAAGCTCGGGATCCTCTCGCGAGCGGCGAACATATCCGTATCAGCGCCCGCGCGGTCTGGATTCAGGGGCGCGATCCTGCGGATACGCGGTCGCACGAATACGTTCCGCGCGGGGCATCCGCAAAGAAACGTCCCGCACCCGCCGCGTCGCGGCCCAGGGGCCCGGCCCGCGAGGCCGCGGATACGACTGTGACTATTGGAGGGACCAAGCAAGAAGCACCGATACCGCCACTCCCTGGACCTCTCCCGGGGAGCGGTCTGACCAGAATTTCGAGGCGAATCCAGCGGTGGCGACGAGGGCCTCCCGGAAGGGCAAAAAGGAGGAAAAAGAAGGAAGGGCAGCGGCATCGGTACAGTAGGGGCTCGACCACAAAAAACCTTCCACAAGAAACCCAACCCTGAAACTCCAGGACGTCCCTTGATTTTTGGTGTGGGAACGCCACGCCTCCCACAGCAGAACTGTCGAAACCCACGAAACCCAGGGCACCCTGGAGGCAAGCAGGGTGTTTCTTGGCATGGGCCTCCACTGTACGCTTGTGGATGCCACGACAATGGACATCCTAACAGTCCGATCATTGAACTTAAAATGTGTTTAACATGTCGGAAACATGTTGATTCTAAACACGTTTAACACATGTCTACCACAGGTGTTAGACATCTGGAACTTATTTGGCAACCTGCTTTCTCTCCATTAGTAAACCTCCCTTAGGTAAACATCCCCTCAGTGCAAACGGTCTGGGGCCGAAGCCGACGGACCTGGACCCGCAGAAATGACGGCCGCGACGCCCCCTCCTGAACCGAAAACGGCCCATTCCTTCATCGACGCGTCGGGGTGGGAGGACCATCCAGGGAAGAGGAGGAGGAGGAGGAGGAGGAGGAGGAGGAGGAGGAGGAGGAGAGGAGGAGGAGGAGAAGGGAGGGGGGGAGGGAGGGAGGGGGGAGGGAGGGAGGGGGAGAGGAGGAGGAGGAGGAGAGGAGGAGGGAGGGAGGGAGGGAGGGAGGGGGGAGGGAGGGGGGGAGGGAGGGAGGAGGGAGGAGGAGGAGGAGGAGGAGAGGAAGAGGAGGAGGAGGAGGAGGAGGAAGGGGGGAGAGAGGGGGGGCGGAGGAGGCGTATTTTTGTTTGCGTCTTCTTCGTGTTCCTCCGCCATTGCACGCTTTTCGCCCGCGGGCCTCTGCTGGATCTCCAGGCAGCAGCGGGCCGCGGCCGCGACAGCCTCGGCCGCGCGCGCCCTGCGCGCGGGGGCGCCGTCCGGGTCCAGCTCCGCGCCCTTGCGGCGTGGTCCGCGAAGGAGGCGGAAGGGGCCCAGGGACACGCAAATAAGTACAGTCGGGGCGTTGACCTAAGGAACCCTAAATAAGGAACGAGGCCTCTTTTAGCCATAAATTAAGCTTCCATTTTCCATCGAAAACATAAGGAAAACCTGCGGCAAGCTGTGAAACACTTAAGGAACGCGGATCCCCTCCCCAACCAAAAGGGTTCCTTCTTCAGGGCCCCGACTGTACACACACAAATAACAGGATTCCCCATCTTTTTTGCTTTGCATCTTTTGGATGTGCGTCTTCCCCCCACTTCCCCCCATAGTTTCCAATATTTCCCGGGGCATCGACGATGAATTGTGTCTGTGTGTTTTTTCCCATCCTGAGAGGCGGGGGGCGTCCAAGCGAGGGGGTCGCAACTCCTGGCCCGAGGCCCGCAGCCCCGGGGACGCACGGAAATCATCAGAAGAGGTGGGCGCGAGCTCCGGGGAGATGCCGCGGCCCAGGGCTCGAGCTGGACGGTGCTTGTCGGTCTCGTCTTTGTTGTTCGTGCTCCTTCGTTCTGCCTTCGTGCTGCCTCTGCTGCGAGACGCAAGCAAGACGAAAACGGTCCACGAGACCGCCCACACACCATTCAGCTCTGCGGCAAGCTGCACGACACGCAAGGAACACCGAGCCCCTCCCCAACGAAAAGGGCTCCTTCTTCGGCGCCCCGGCTGCACCTCCCCCGGTCGTCGCCCCGCTCCCGGCCGTCCCCGCGGGGGACGGGCCCTGGACGCCGGGGCCCTGCTCCCCGGGGAGCTGCCCGTCGCCCCAGGTCGCGCGCTCTTCGACAGTCCCGCGGGTGCCCGTGCGGACGGCCCGGGAAGTTCGTCAGCAGCAGGGCGGAGCCTAAAGGGTGTTTTTCGATGTCGTTTTGCGTTCGCTTTCCCTCGTGTTGTCTTCGGTTCGCCTTTTTTTACCGCAAGACGAAATCGAAACGGAAACGGCCCACGAAAACGCCAAAACACCGTTCAGGTCCAGCCCTGGTCAACAGCCAAGGACCTCGCGAGACCCACGCCCCCCGCTGAATTGTGCATGCACCTTCAGGAAGGGCGGCGGTGTATAAGGTCGCCTGCTCCCAACGGTGATTTATACACCGCCACCCTCCCGTGAGGCCCAGGAACGATCCATTGGAGGGTGTCTGTGTGTAAAGTATATATATATATACATACACACATACATACATACGTATATATGTGGCGGAAGCCCCCGCAGGTCGGAGGAGGGCCAGCTCTCCCGCTCGGTTGGGACCAGCTCACAGTCGATCACCGGATCCCTCCCGGGGTCCAGCATAACCCGTCTTTCGAGGCGGACCCGGCCGTGGCGGCAAAAGGGCAAAAGAAGCCTCCGGGAGGCCGCAAAACGACTAAAACCAAAATAAAGGCCGCCGCTATCTCGACCGGCCCTCCTTCGATCAAGACCCGCTTCCCTCGTGGCGACCTCGTGGCCCGGAAGCACAGATCCACAGCTCGCGCCAGAGCCCCTGCGGGAGTCTCGGGCGGGGCCCGGGTCGGGCGAGGGGTCCTCGGAGGGCCAGACGATGGTCAGGGCGTCCCCAGAGAACTTGACCACGTCGCCCCTGTGCTTGTGTATGATCTGGATCAGGGGCTGGAAGAAGCCGTTGAGGGTCTCGCCGATGAGCTCCGCCCCGTGCGGCTGCCTGGCGAGGCTCTCGGTGAGCTTGGTGAAGCCACTGGCGTCTGCGAAGACCACCGCCGCAGGAAACCGGGTGAGTACCTTGAGGCCGTCCAAGAAGGGCCGGAGCTGATGCAATCGGAGGATCGCGCCGCACTGCCGACACATCGGCGACCGCGGAGTGGAGAAGAGCTGGCTCCAGATCGCGCCGTCTCGCCGATGCACTGGCGAGCGGCGCGATCCTGGGACCCCCTCTGCTCTGGCCCAACATCGGAGGCTGAGTACTGGATTGTACCTGCTCGTCTTGGCCGACTCCAGGACAGCCTGCCGCTGGGCCATGTTGATCAGCCCATGCCGTATGCACCTCCGCACCACGTTTGGAAGGAAGCTGGCGAGCGCCGACCCGTAGGCGGGCGTTGCCCTGCTTCTCCTCCGGCCCCCCTGCATCAGCCGCTGCAAGGTCTTCGCCTCGTCATCCTGCATCTCCTTCGGCCGAGGTCAAACAATCATAGACATGAAAGGGTGGTCCGCGCAGAACTCTTGGACAGGAGCCCAGACCTCCTGGTGACGCCTCTGGCGCGGCCCCAGGCGCGCTCCGCACATCAATGAAAAGGGACCAGCGCTAATCAACGTAATCCGCGCGGGCCTTCGAAAGCTCACGGTGAGACACTTTTGCTTGTCGTGTCGCGATGGCGGCTCCTGAAACAAGCTGTGCCTTGTAAGCTGATAGTGTTTCACTCTGCATCGTGGGACTGGTGGCTGGGAAAAGCTCAGAACGCTGGCGCTTGGGAAACAGGGCGGTGATTAGCATGTCGCGGTGAAACGTGGTGGGCCAGAACCGGCGTCGCGATACGCTAAGCAAACATTCCTGACCGTCTGTTCGAAGGAGACGAGGTCAAACGTTCCTACTCCGTCTCTTGGTGCATAGCTGAAGCGACCGCGGTGCGGGTTCTCGATGACCTGTAGGTGCTGCATTATTGTTGATCCCCCCACCTGGTGCCAATGCTGAAGTGCCCCTCCATCCCCGAAGGGCTCGCATGCTGATGTTGGTGAGAGAGCGTCTTGAAGCTCAAATTGGCCCCTGGTCTGGTCCCCCAGCTACAACAACAACGACTCCCGCTTGGTAATTCTTCGCAGTTTCTTCAAAATCGCGTTCTCGCTCGAGACCTCGCGATGTGCTCAAGAATCGCGCTCTCGCCCAAGACTTCCTTGCAACTTACTACGGCACCGCTCTATCCTCGTCCAGGAGCCGTGCTCTCGCACGGTGAGCCGTGCTTTCGCATGAAACCTCTTACGTGATCTACGACATCCGCTTCGATACCCCGCCCGCCCGACCCGTCCGTTAGGGCCTGTCCGCCCGACCCGCCGATTCGGCTTCCGCTCGCCCGCCTGCTTGGAAGCCCGCCCGCCCGCCCGTCAAGGCCCACCCGCCCGCCCGACCCGCCCCGCCCACCCGCCCGACCCGCCCGTCAAGGCCCACCCGCCCGTTAGGCCCGCCCGTCAAGGCCCACCCGCCCGACCCGCCCGTTATAGGGCCCGCCCGCCCGGCCCGGCTCGTGCGGGTCCGCCGGTCCAGCCTGCCGTCGCGATGGGGCCCTTCGCTTGTTGGTGGAGGTCCGCCCGCACGCTCGAATGTGCCGCCCGCTCGCTGCAGCCCCCCTCCCCCCCCCGACCCGCCCGTGGGGGTCGGCCTGCCCGCCAGGGTCCGTCTGCCAAAACTGCGGTGCCTCTCTCCTCCTCCTCCTCCTCCTCCTCCTCCTCCTCCTCCTCCTACCCTCCACCTCCTCCTCCTCCTCCTCCTCCCCTCCTCCTCCTCCTCCTCCTCCTCCTCCTCCCTCCTCTCTCCTCCTCCTCCTCCTCCTCCTCCTCCTCCTCCTCCTCCTGCCAGGTCTGCTTCGCCCTCTACTGCCTCCCCCCCTCCTCCTGCCCCCCTCCGTGGTCGATCCCTCCTGCTTTCCTGGCTCTCCCCCTTTTGCTTTTTACCTTCTCCTCTCTTGTTCCTACCTTCGGGGCCGCGCCAATTGAACGATGCATGTAAGGGAGATATAAGTAGTTTCAAAAAAATAATGTCGAAGACGAAGAGTGCGGGTATCGTGGGTCTGGGTTACGGATGGCACGCGAATAACGAAAGCGAGCAGTCTTCAAATAACTGTGGGGCTCCCAATCCAGAAAATAATCATTGTTCATCTCCCCTCCGGCGCACATTGCATTTTCAATGTAAGCGTTCATCACGGGACTCACACCCTGTTTTTTTTATACGTGGAAGTCCTGAAGGTAAAACTGTCCCCGTGCCCCCCAACTGCCACAACAACGGCTCTCGCTTCGCATGAGCTTTCCTTGGAATAAGGAATCGCGCTCTCGCTTCAGACTGCCTCACGATTAGTTCAGACGCCGCTCCTCCACACTCAGGAATCGCGCTTTGGCTTTGGACCTCCTCACGATTTACTTGCGATTCGCGCTGTCTCTCAAAGCTTCCTCGCGACTCATGCAGGACGCACGCTTCAGCAACCCGCCTGCTCCACTTGGCCGCCTGGGCCCGCCTTCCCGACCCGCCCGTTCGGGTTTACCCGCCCGATCTGCCCAACGTGCGTTCTGCTCCTTGCCCCCTCTCCTGTTGCTCTCTCTCTCTCTCGTGCTCCGTCCTCCTCCACCCCCGCTGTCCAAGGCCATCGCAGGCTCGAGGGAATTTCGTTGAGCAGGGACCGACCGTCCCGGCATTCTTATAGGCCTACCACGAACTTTTCTGATAACACAGAAATGATCGGATAACAGGAACAATGTTCTGACAACATAAAACAGACGTGTTAGAACAAGATCGCCCCAGCCAGAAATGTCCTGAGAACATTTCGTGGAAACCACAAAAGGTTCTTAGAACATTGTTTGGTAGGCCTATGGGCACGCCAAGACGCTTCGCCACTGCTTGATTTCGGGCGCAGGTACCAGCGTACTCGCGAAATCCCCCGCCGGCCAGGCCTCATGCGCGCCAGCCCTCCGGCGCCCACCGCCCAACCACGGCGCGAGGAGGGAGGGCTGCCCGTGACAGTGCCCCGGAGGCCCGCCTGGCACGGGAGAGCCAGAGCGGACCGCAACGAGGCCCGAGCCCTACTGCAAGTTGTCGCAGCCACCGAGCTTCTCGCAGGCCACCACGGTTTCTCAGTGCCATGCCGTGGAGCCAGCGAGGACAGCGCGACAGAAGCAGACAGCCGTCGAGGCCCCGCAGCAGAGGTCGAGAATGGCAAAGCAGACAGCCTCCCCCAATTCAGTGTCCGTGGGATTGCCCAGCGTGCAGTCGGGTGAAAAAGTGGGGGGCCAAGCGGCGTGTCAAGTGCCACCCGACCTCCCAATCCAACTTCAGAAGCAGTTCTAGTGCCAGAAACAGTGACAAGCAAAGAGTCCCGCCGTGGCAGAAGCAGAACAGCAAGGGTAGAGCACGGCCAGTGATCGACGAGGATGAAGAGATCATGAATATTTCGCCGCGCTCTCCCGAACAAGCAGTCGCACATCGAAGGTGGCAGGACCCGCCAGAGGACCCGCAGGAGCTAGGCTACTTTCGCATTGAGGGACTCGAACGCCAAATCCAGTGCTCGCAGGAGCTCAAGCGGCAACCATCAAGTCGAAGAGCCGCGACACGAATACAGGGTAATTTTGTATCAGCTCATGTTCTCGAGGACGGACGCAGCCGGCACGGCCAAACAGCTCCGCTTCGTCAGCCGTGCTAAGCGGTGTCTGGCGGAAACAAAACCAGCAGAACGAAGCAGAGCCATACCTCGAGACGTGCCGTAACCAAGTGGAGATTCCAAATGAGGAGCTCGCACATGCAGAAGCCCTGCTAGAGCACTTCCAGGACTTCGAGGAGACAGAGAAGGAGAAGCGCAAGACGGCCGACAGACGTACCCAGCGTACGCACGGACTGGACCCTAAGACCCCAGAGTACATGGATGAGGATCATGAAGTTGATGAGTCTGAGGATGAAGCACCACTCGCAGCAGATGGTGCTTTCAGGCCGCAGAGGGCCTGGACCACGGCACAAGGCAAGCACAAGAGCAACGCCAACATGTGGAAGCCAGAGCCCCAGCAGCCACCCCACACACCGCCTGGAGCTACACCATCCACGAGCTCAGCGGGTACGGGAACACAACTCACCACGCAGGGGTTGCTCGCGTCCATGCAGCATGCGCAGTCCCAGCGTCTCACCCAGATCCTGCACTTCAAGCGCACTATGACGGACATTCAGAAGCAAATCTCGGTGGTGAACCAGCCCCGACGGGAGGAGAAGAACCAGTTGCCGCAACAGGCTCTGGAGATCAAGAGGCAGCCAGGCAAACCACCGCCATCCCCGACGGAGGCCAGAGCAGCCAGCCGCCACCGCGTGGAAGCGGCCCTCGCACATGGAGCAGCAGCGACACCACGACCGGCACGCTCGGTATCGCCAGGGCGTCAGACGGGGCAGGTTCCACGCAAGACGATTAGGATCAGCATGGACAGGGCGGTGGATACCAGCCTCGAACGTATCCCTATCCCTAAGATGGACACGCCAAAAGGCGATGACAATCTTAGGGATTCGCCCTCCAAAACAGAAGGAAATCCCTAAGATTGGCATCGTGATGAGGAGGTGCCCAGCATAGGGATAGGGATATGTTCCAGGCTGGTAAGTGGACTCGCGACATGAGCGCCCCGACGAAGAAGCAGTCAACCTAGCGGCCTGGGACACAGACGAAGAGGAGCCACATGGAGTTGCCAAAGGTCCAGACAGCCCCGGGGACAGCAACAGCGGCATCAGCAGCGTCAACGGCTACAGCAACAGCTCCGGCCCAGCCGCTTGTTCGCTTCGCCCCCGCCCAGAAGGCGCCAACGTGACCCCACCCCAGCAGGAGGGGTCGCATAACTTGCCCGCGTCGCCTCAGGTCCATGCTCCTCCCTCTTCCCCCCAGTTGTCTTTGCCGCCTCTGACTCCAGCAAACCCCACAGAGGACCAACTTATGTGCGAACATGGGATGCACGGAAGACCACACGGGAGACGGAGGAGGAGGAGGAGGAGGAGGAAGAGGAGGAGGAGGAGGAGGAGGATGGAGGAGGGAGAGGGAGAGGGGAGAAGAGAGGAGGAGGTGGAGGAGGAGGAGGAGGAGGAAGGGGGAGGAGGAGGGGGAGGAGGAGAGGGATGAGGAGGAGGGGAGGAGGGAGGAGGAGGAGGAGGAGGAGGAGGAGGATACATAGACCAGCCTCAGGAAGCCTCTAATTGGGCCCCTAGAGGGATCCAAGTACTCGCCGCTGCCCGAGCCAGGACCCCCTTGGGAGCTCAGGGAGCGCCCCCGGTCCGTGCAGCCCTCTAGGGACCGTCAGTCGTGGGCTCCCTACTGGCACTCATCCACCCTTCTCCTCCTCCTCCTCCTCCTC